AACGCGTGGACATATCCGGGTACGTTATAGAGCCATTTGAAGAATAACGTAAAAGAAACGTTTTTCGTGTCACATTGTGTCAATGTTGCTGAACGTTGTGTAAAGTTAAATTACATAGACAAATGTTCCAGAAACGTTTAATAAAGAATATTTGAGCAACATTTATAAATAGCCTCTTGGCAACAATTTCGCCACAATATTGAATCAATGTTTTGTAGGGAATGTTTGCCTAATGTGACGAAACGGGATACATTGTCGCATCACGCCGGAATTGGTGAAGGATACACAAAGTACTATTTAGAATCGCGGGAATAACAGAACTAAGTATAATTCAGTGTTGATCCTTACGAAAACATTTTTATTTTTATACAAGCAGGGAGAAGGCTCTAATGTTTATAGTGACTATCATATTTCAAGTGTGTGCTAATTTTTTTCTAAACGGATTGCAGAAAACTACACAACAAAAGTACTTTCAAGAGGATCATAATCTAATTGAATTTGTATTCAAACGTGAATTTCGCCATATCTTTTGCAATCTGCACAGGCAATATCAAACGTTTCACAATCAAATAATATGAAGTACCCGAAGTGTGAAAGGGCAGTCTGCTTCTCATTTCCTCGCCTTTTTTTTCTTCGTGACGTAAAAAATTATTAAATTTAGAAACTTTGTAAACGACATTTTGTAATATTCGTATGGCATTCGTAGAACATGTTTTTAACGCAATTGCGAACGCACTATGGCCCTTCTTTCTGAAGTATCGAAAATCGGAGCCCGGAGTTATGTCGCCTGGCTTTTTATCCTCCCTCGATAAACTTGGCGGCGCCGCAGCGCTTGGCACATGTAGCACCGAGGATCATTGGCGAGTCGGGGAATCGAACAAAGTTCTCTTGTCCAGGTTCCTTGCGACCTACCAGACTTCGAAAAGGAAATCGTCAAAGGTCAAAACAACTGGGTTTGGTGTCTGTGTACCGTAGTTTTGGTTGTGGCTCCGGCGGGACAACCTTTCACGCAGAACCGACGCGACATGGACCCTCGCGTAGCTCACAAAAGTCCAAGGCGCGTTTTCTTCGACCTCATTCCATTTCAAAGAATTTGAGAGAGCTGAAAGGGTCCTCAAAGAACTTCAGACTGGAAAGTGAAGCGTCGTCTGCTCACAGCGATAGGCGGCACACCGAGGCAAGCAATCGATTGCCAGATGCGAGCGAACACGACACTTCGGGCCGGGGCAGAAGAGAAAGAAGTTCGAGTTGCAGGACGACTCAGTCTTTGAGGTCACTGCACTGGCGCGGATCGCGCGGGAAGTTCAAATTCGGCTTTTGGAAAAGTTTCTTTACTTCACAAATTCTACGTTCACTAGTTTCGGATTTTGAGGATAATGTCCACGCATCCTTGTCAATCGTTTCAGATAATAAAAAAAAAATAATAATATAATTTTTGACCTGTCCGTGCCCCTTTAATACCTCCGACGAAATCAAGTGTGATTGTTTAGATTTTCATGGGCTAGTTCTGGGGCCGGCTTCACACCGCTTAAGTCACATCAGAAGTTAAACATTTAGTACCACGGTTATTCTACGACCTAGTGCTTTGTTCACCATCGAAGTTTTTCCTTCACCATTTGGATAGGAAGACTGGAGGAGCAGCGAGGCCGTTCTTCCATCTTCCCGTGGACACGCCGTGCGCTTTCTTCTCTGCGCCGGTCGCGGATGGCGGGCTTCGGGTTCATTGTGTGTCGACAATGATACCCCGGATTCCCTGTTTATGGCTGCTAGCCATGGAAGGCTGTGACACGGCCCTGGCAAGGCATTCGTAGGCAACTCACTGTACAGTGAGTCAAATACTTTGATAGTACAAGGCGCGTAGCCTGTATCCTTAACGTCGTGTTTTGTATCAGTGCTACATATTTTATGTTATAATGAGGCTAGCATGTTTGGACAAACGACTTTTGGTTGGCAACTCTGTCGCTGCCGATGTGACGTACTGAAAAGAAAGATTTCTTTAAGATAGAAGTTTTCTATTTAAATATTCCTACGAAGAAACTGAACCCGAGTTAAATACTCACTAGAACAAATAATGTGACCTTTAAAAGAACCTTCCTGTCTGTTTACAATGTCACCTGACCAATGTAACTGCGCTCTTACCTTCGTTCGCCCTAAAGGAAGGCCTGTGTTTCCTTCGCCAGGTCGTTTCCAGGCAGTTTTTGGTATGAAGAAATGCTATAAAATGAAGAGCTACGCTTGCGATGAACTACGCACATGGGACGCGTATCTGTCCAGCAACATCGAGCTGCACAGAACGGGTTCCTTGGTGCACACTTTGCGTCGTCCGCGGCAGGTCCGGATCGGCTGACGAACTTGGCTGTGGGAAGAAGGGGCGGTACTTGCGTCGGAGGCCAAGTTGCTTCTCTTGACAGCGCCTACTAACTCTTTAGCAGTGGGTTACTTTTATATAAACGATTGAATACTTTCGCAACGAATAAAGATAGATAAGCGAAAAAGAGTGGCACAGATTACTTTCTAGCGGGAGGTGGGATGGAGGTGCTCGGGTGTTAGCTCGGGAGTTGGCTGGCTCGTAGGATTAAATTCCGTTTACGGGGCTATTGTCCCTCGAAGTCCCTTGACGAGGCTCGATTACGGAGCGTGAGCTCTGAAGCTCCAGCAGCAACTAAAACCCGTTCATTCGTTCGTGATACGTTTCCCACTTGCAGCGCTTCCACTAAATATCACTGGTTGGCCCGCCCTCTTTTGGTGGACCGGCGATTCCCTGACGGGTCATGAGACGGGCGTTTTCCAGTGGCCGAGAGGCCGCAACCAATCGCCCCACTTTCCCACCGTGGGGGAATTGCTCAAGTTTCCCGCCTGAGACCCCACGACCTGCGCATGTCCAGTGATGAAATCGGCGTTTGACCTTTTGTAGCAGGTTCTGTAGCGGGGAAAATGTTGGTTTGGAGCAGCTACTGACGCTTTTGCAGAAGATGCCAACATCTGTTAGCACATCACTCGAGAATGAAAAACTGATTGAATCTCTTAATGAGTTCATTTATGATAGTAATCAACTGTTTCTCTTTGACACTCGAGCATATTACTTATTACTGTTTGGAGAAAAAAAAAATTAGATAGAACATAAAAGGAACACAGTCTTAAATAAGGCTCTAGTCAGAGGTTTCATTTACAGTGGGTATTAAAAATGGTTCAAAAGTGTATCGTAGCGTAGTGGATTGAATCTTCTCTCCCCTCTTCATTTTACACTCGGTAGTTTGTTCAGCCTGTAGATATATTTTTTTAATGCCAGCAAGAACCAGCATATCCGCTAACACGTCTACCAATAAAGATGCGTCCCGTAAGTTTAATGAACCTGCCAAACTCAACACTCTAATATTATAAATTACAAATGCAGCCAACCAACAATACTATAAAAGGGTACACTTTCGCTTTAAAGTCTACACTGTTTTTTTAGCGGCGTAGGAACCAGAGTCACGTCGAAGTTCGCAGCTCTTTCGATCGACAGCTGCACGGAAACTATCGGGACTCCCGTATTCATTCAAATATATATAGACGCTTTGCTGCAGCTGTGCCTGGGCACCGCCATAACTGACCTTCAATTTTTGTTTCCCCTTATTACATCATTTCACTTCATCATTACTATAGCAGGCCAGGTTATTGCCATACTAGATTCAACTGTGTCCTTTTCTAAAGCATCGGTTTTTGTAGAGGATCGTAAACTACCGGTTTCAGTTGCTCGGCATCTCGGTAAGACAAGAGAAGGTCAGCAATGGCGGCTGTAATTTGGCGCGTTTGTAAAGCGTCTATAGACTCGTGTTCCCTTCTCTCATTATCTGTTCCTTTTAATTGGAGATTAACTTACAATGAGGACAAAGAGGTTCGCCCCGTAATCATCCTGACCATAATGTGCCTGCCTGTCGCGCTAAGCCAGGCGCTCCCCCGTGTCAGCCGCTGCTCCTAGCACTCCGGTGCAAAGCGGTGAAGCTCCACGCGGTCACACTGCTGAGAGGCGCAAGGGCCACGCTGTAATCAAGCGAACTTATCAGGAATGCAAGACTCTGGTTCCGTTTCATGTTGAATGCAAAAGTTTTCTCTGGGACTCTTAGTTCCTGACATCGACGACATCGTCTGAGACTTTAGTCGATGTCGGCGATCAACCAGCCAGCGCATCAATCGGCAAGAGCGCTTGATGCCCAGCATCAGCGTCTCTGGCCGGTTGATTCGCAGCATCCAAGGGCGAATTCCTGGCATTCGTCATCTTCTTGTACGTGTTCTTTCATCGGCTAGACCAACCAATGTCGCGTGACTTGCGCTTTTAGCATGCGTGTCTGTGGTTACATGCGTTCGAGTCTTCGGCTTTATTCTGATCTAAAACGAAACAAACTATACTGTGAGTACAGACGCTGTGAAGTTCCTATTTGCACAATACTTCTTTCCTTCTACTTCTCTGAGTATTAGGGTCGACCAATATGTATATATATATATATGTTTGCTTTAAGGCTGTCTCGGGGCAGGTTTGGCACAATTCTTTGCAAAATGACATTTTGGCGCAAATGACGCAGCATTTTCATCACTGCATGTCTCACGGCCAAAGGTCAGGCGGGTTCGGACCCAAACAAACTCTTCCTTAGAACTTGTGAAGCGAGCCAGACAGCCGAAACCGATGTGGACAGCGCCGACGATCATTCCACCAGACGTGGTCTAACGTTGCCCATCCAACCACCGCACTCTCCGATAGTCCTCCCGGCCCGAAAAGCACGTTCCGGTTCTCTCGGCTGAAAACGCGCGTTTTGAACCTGGCGTCGCAAAGTATACGGCCGACTTTCGAAGTCGCCCACCACCGCGGGAACTGTTCGTCAACGCTTTCGTAGACCAGCCAAGTCCCTCTCGTGCTAACGGCCCACAGCACAGCCTTCGTCGACCCTTACACCCACGGTTCGGGAAAGTCACCCTTTTGGACGATACGCTCGTGGGGAACAGTAAGCCGATGCCAATTCTATGTACAATGTATTTATTAAAAAGCAAAAGAAGAACTCGCCGGTGTCACCCTTGTCTTCGGGTTTCCCCAGTGTCGTTAGGACCCGGTGCCCTCCCCCCTCCCCCATCACGGAGTCCATCTACCGCTCCTGGTCGTCGGAGGAGTGCTGCCTCCTCATGTGGCTTCTGAGTTCGCATGGGAGCACGAATCCTCTGCCGCAGTCCCCGCACTTGTGGGGATACTCTTTTGAGTGCACCCGAATCACGTGCCTCTTTACGTTCCTTAAATGGCAGGTCCTGTAGGAGCACAGGTGGCAGGCATAGGCCTTCTCGCCGGAGTGGGTTCGCCTGTGCTTTGCGAGGTCACCTCTCTGGACGAATCTTCTCGCACACTCTGGGCAGACGTGGGGCCGCTCTCCGCTGTGCGTCCTCTCGTGCGTCCTCAAGTCTGCCAGCTGAGCGAACTTCTGCCCGCACTCGGCGCACTCGTGAGGGCGCTCGCCCGTGTGCACTGTCTGGTGCCTGGTCAAGTCATTCTGCGTATTGAAAGCCTTGCCGCAGGTGCCGCACTTGAAGGGCCTCTGTCCCGTGTGGGTGCGCTGGTGCCTGACTAGGTTTGGTTTCTTATCGCTGGAGTAGGGACAGTGACCGCATCGGTGCCTGCCCCCTCCCCTCTCGTGCATCCTCTTCCGGTGTCCCTGGAGGTGCTCGAGGGAAGCGAAGACGCTGTCGCAGTCCCCGCACGCGAAGCTCTCCGCTGGCCCCTCGAGGGACGGTGCCTCTTCTTGGTCTGCACATGGACGAGCAAGGCAAGGGGGGCAGAGAGTTAAGGGGGGGACACTACCGTAAAATCCCGAGATACCCCTCCCCCAAAAGGTGACCCGCCCCCCTCCCCCCCCCCCCCCCCCATTTTCGGATGGATTTGTTATTTTCTTTTAAAGGGGGGGGGGGGGGGGGGTTCAACGATTTTAAGATTACAAAAATATGCATCTCGTAATTTTTACGTTGTTTATCATGTCCCGGAGGTCACAGAAAACATCTCCTTCATTAAAAAATATCGCTATTCCGCTGCATGATCACAAAGCAAAAGTCAAGCTTTTCCCCCCACCTGCAGCAACGAATGGCAGCCGAAAAAACTACAGTGAAAAGATTACATGACCTCACACGGCTCTAAGCTACAGCCTGAGGCCCACTAATGTCAGCAGAGAGAGAGAGAGAGGAAGCGTCCTCCGAGAGAGCACAGGGGCACCAGAAATGCAATACACGCTGTCGAAATCGGTTTTCTGTTCCTTACTTTAGGAGTGTCAGAGGGCAACTTCCACAAGTGTTTGACCGAAGTCCGGAAATCGCTGCAACCCCCCTCCCCTTTAAAACACCGAAAGGTAGACCACGCTTACTAATCGTAGCGTTCGGATCAACGATGCCCTTGGCGTAAATGCGCCCGGTTAGCTAGGGCAGGATATAAAAGCGAACATTTCTGACTGGGAAGTACAGTCATCTCTGTTTCATTGCCCCTTCGCCGGGATAACATGTCTGATAGACACATTATCTAAAAATAGCATTTGTGTTTTCAACTTTTATGGACTGCACACCGACAGGTAGACCACTCCTCATTTTCATACAATTTTTTTATCTATTCTAGGTGGACTATATCTCAGGAAAGTACCGTACCTTCAAATCCCAATTTAAAAAAAAAAAAAAAAAAAAATTTTTTTTTTATTTTTATGCATTGTGATTCCACAACAAATAGTGCACTCCTGACAATTTGTATTGCAATGACAAACTTCGAAACTCAGCTTAGCTTTGCATCCGCGATGTCCCCCACTCACGCTTCTTCTGGGCTCCGTCCTTGGCTTCGACGAGTCCTAGCTCGGCGCCAAACTCGTCCCCGTACCAGACGAGCAGCTCGGTCCCCGGCGCTATTTTGGCCCTTGTCTGGTAGTAGACGCCTCCCCTGTGCTGGAAGGCCACGAGGTTCTGGCTCTTCTCGCTCGGGGCGCAGTTGACGTAGCGCATCCAGTTGGACTCCGACAGGGGCCGGGCGTCCACCAGGTAGCCGCACCGGCCACGCACCTGGATCCGGGCAAGTGCACGCGGTGACGCACCACTTTTACACCCGCCTCAAGCATTTCAAGGAGATTGTTTTGGCAACTGAATCAGATTATCATTGATTTAGTGTTTATTTGGGGATACATTTCTTGAACTTCGAGTTCTTATGCTATAACTGAGGTACTGACGAGAACAAAGAAACCTACTTGTAACTTCCGTAATTTTGGATGCGCTCATCTGGGAATGGGTATCTCTGAATTGTCGGCTTTTCGTGCTATCTGTGCGAGTACAACCTGAAGGTGATGCGTGCTGCTTGCACATTGTTGCTAGTAAAAAAGTATCTTTAGGATACCGCACCGCCAGAGCACAAAGTATTTGCGTCTTTTCTAGCGCTCTAAACTTGTTCCTGTAACACCCTTAGGATGTTATCCTTGAGACCAGCTACACCCATAAGTGTGTATGGTATTCCATAGTGTGTACCCCGACAATTCCATCCTCCCTTTCAGGTTCAGACCCTTCGAGTTCACGCATGCTCACGCAGCCCACAGGGAGCACTGCACCTTCCAGGTGTATCCGTTGCCCCCGCCGGAGCCGGTGAAGCGCACGCCTTCGTAGGGCCCGTAGCACAGCCTGGCCGGGAGGGGCCTGAGGGTGAAGACCCCCTTCCCGGCCCCCTTGATGCAGGACCGGGCCAGCGTCAGACCCTCGGGCAGGGTCTTGTTCGCGCGCTGGGGGTCTCCCGGGGGAACCTGAATTAATCAGAGGGGACGGATATGATGTTGCAAGTAATATATAAAGAGAGCTCACGTGGTGCAAGGACTTTGTCAGCCAGGATGACAACTACGAACTGGGTATTTGTTTGTACTTTTATTTATTTTCAAACGAACCGATAAAACTTCGGTGTCACTTATGTTTTTGGTAGTCTGGCATAAAATGTCTACTAAAAAGAAATGTAAGATTTCCTGCTGTGATTCCAAACCCGTGGTCTGTATAGGACACTCGAGAATGGGATACTTTCTGACACATCCAGCTACGCTAAAACTATAAACCTGCAGGCGGGAATACCACTTTTTGCATGGTTCACTTCGTTGACAATGGCAGAATATTACGGTAGCAGATAATTTAACGTTTTATGGTTTCGATCGAGGTTTTTCTGGATATCCTCCGATGTAATCACTAAAATATAGACGCTCGATATTTGAAGTCCATTGTCTCCAATGTCAAGTCTGGATAATGACTTAATAGAGCTACACACTAGACTTCGCAGATTCTCATCGTTGGATGTCCAGTCTGGTGCTGAAACAATCGAAGCCCGCGTGTAAACTTTCCAGGGTAGCACGCGGAATTCAAGGAAGGTTATCGACGTACACAGGTAACGCCCGGACCCGAAAGTGAAAACTCGATCATGCCATGAAGTCCCTCTTGTCCCAACACAGATGGCTTCCACCGTCTCTTCGCAGCTTCCCCGCTCTCCTGCCATTTCAAAAGCTCACAATGCCTCCTCGATGCGCGCCAGACAACGAGAAAGTCGTGTAAATTCCTCACCGGGGTGTCCTTGACGAACTCGAGCGGTCCGTGGACGGGACAGTCGCCGTGCCGGTCTTCGCCGCACTCCAGGCAGTCTGCACAACGGACAACAGAGAGCAACCCACTTCTGTAGCCCCATTATATTGAATTAAGCTTTTGAAGTGAGCATGGGGTGTCACTGAGGGAAGGGAGAAGGTATCTTGTCCGAGTAGTTTCCGACTTCTGGACACTCACAGAAGAACTCGTCCTCGGAGGGAACTTCGCACTCGGCGTAGTTGACGGACTTGCGGCTCCGCTTCGGGTACCGCGTCTGGCTCGAGGTGCCCTCTCCGGGATCTGCGCACGTCACCGGAAGAAGAAAAGTCACGTCCTACCAAATGAACCGTTCACCCGATGCCCTGATGCCTTAGGTTATTTTCACTGCCCAGTGGCACCCCCCCCCCCCCCCCCCGAGCGCTGAACACGGGGCGCCCCCCCCCCCCCCTCTCTTGTGACGCCACTGCTTAGCTCTTCACATTCGTTGATGTCTGCACATGCGTGTGCTTCTCTCTGAAGGCTGGAGCTTCCATGAGACACAAAGGCGGTGATGAAGTATAGTACCTTACATTTTTGACCAACGGCGCACCGACGACCCGGGGGGGGGGGGGGGGGGGTTTAACCGCCCCCCCCCCCCCCTTTCCCCCGGAGTTCTTTTGTTTGTTTCTTTTTCACTTGACGTCGATGATTTGTTGGGTGAGAAAAGAAACAAAAACATTTCGGCCTGACGGGTTGGAACCTTTCCGAAATTCAGTTTGCTCACTTCACTCGCTATCATCATCGGAGTGTTAAACATTTCTGAAAACATCCTATGCCTGATTATGGATAGTCAGCACACTTTCGTAGTATTTATACCATTTATTTGTTTATTTCATATACGCTCAAGGTAAGTACATTGAAGAGGGGCGAGAGCTGTAAAATATTAACTATAAAGAACACATAATAGTAATGGCATGTTAAAAAAAATGGCAGTGATGTTAGCAATCGATGAGGTAAAATGGTTCCAGTCTTTATATTTTTGTGGCATAAAAGAATATTGATATGATGAAGTTCTAAAATTTGGAATACCGACCTTGTGGTTGTGATCAATGCGAGCAGATATGTAGAATGGTGAAGTAATACGGTTTATGACGAAGGGTAGCATTTTGATGAAATTTTTATGAAAAAGACACAAACTAGAGATTTTTCCGCAGTGAATTAGTAACGGCATTTGAAGTATTTTTTATGGTAGAAACGCTGGCAGTACGATGAAAGTTTTCCATATAAAACGAGCTGAGCGTTTTTGCATGGATTCAATAAGAGCAATTAGTGACGAGCGAGAGGGGTCCCACACAGCAGCAACAGTTTTTAATTTTGGACGCTTTAGGGCTTCGAACATGATTAGTTTTAATAAAGTAGGAGAGAGAAAGAGATTTATTTTTAAGCATCCTAACATACGCGGTTAGCACTGTAAATTACGTTTTCAATACGAATCTTTTAAGAAAGGTTACACGTCATACGAACACCAAGGTATTCGTAAACAGACACTGAAGCGAGAGAGGATTGCTGTTAAGATGACACGACATCGACTGAGCGTGTGACACATTCGTCGATGTAAATTTGTCAGTGTTTTGTCCCAACCAACCACGTGTATCCGTCGGACGTCCGAACAAGAGCCAAATATCCATTGCCAGAGAAGGACTGGACATCCGTTTCCGTATGTCCAAAGTCGGACGTATAGTGGACGTTGTTTGGATATATAGAAATGGATGTCCGAGGGCTATTCAATTGTGTATGTTCGAACATATCCCAGCAAGTGTTAAGAAAACATCCAAAAACAGTTACTTAAACCCTAGTAGCACGGAATGTTGCGGCAACATTACTGGAATGTGGCTAATATGGCGCAATGTTACGCCACATAAAACAATGTATATACAACGTTACATTTTGAGAACATCATGAAAATATATTGACACAATGTCACAAAAATATCTTGCAACGTCACGCAACCTTTGCTGATGATGCTTTAACGTTCCATTAGCCACTTCAGTGATATACGATTATGGCCAGATTGTAGCGGAATAGTGTCGGATATGTCGGTTATTTTCCGGTATATTGCGCAATCGTCAGCAAAGAGGCCAATAGAAGAAGACAAGTTCTACACCGAGTCGTTAATGGAAATAAGAAAGAGTAGCGTGGCCAAGCACTGAGCCCTGTGCGATACCCGAGGTGACTGGAACAGTACTCGAATTCGTATTATAAGCAGTAGCGAATTGTAGGCGGTTAGTTAAAAAGGCATGAATCCAATTTACTATACAAGAGTCAATTGATGGTAGGTTATGAAGAAGGAGTTTGTGGGAAACTTTGACAAAGGCTTTCGAGAAATCTAAAAAACAACAAAAAAAAAACATAATCGGTTTCATATATATTATCAATAGAATAATGAAGATCATGCGTGAAGGATAGTAGTTGCGTCTCACATGAAAAAAAAATGTTTTTTTTTAAATCCTTGTTTTGAACTTGAAAAATGAAAGGAACCACCTTCCGAACCACCCAATCGCTTTGCACTACGCCAGGGATAAGAGACTGCATGTAAAGTTTTGAGATAATTACTGAACAATGCATTTTAACAATTTTTCTAAGAACTTGATGTTAATCCCACATATTCCGGCACAGGACGAAAGCTTCATATTATTAATAATGCCAGCGATACAAATCGCGTCAACTGCCACTAAGTCTAAAGGCAAAAGAAAAAAAGCAGAAAACGACAATACCGGCCGGTACTTAGTTAACATTAGAGGTTGTTAAGGACAGCACTTTGCTAGCTCCAAGCGTAATGTGCCCTTCAAAAACAAGCTAAAAAAAAAAACGGACAGGAGAACACATAAAGGCGTTGGGGCAATCTGTTTTGTGGTAGGTGCGTTTACACAGCCATGTGCAGAGAATGTAATATGAAATGAAGATATGGATCTTGACCAAACCCGAAGCCCAGCACGAGGTCCAAATCCCCGTTGTCGATCTGCTTCGTCGTCTTTGAGCCCGGGTACACAACACAATCCATTTGGCCTTTTGTTGGCATTCGGAGACTGCGTTTTGCTCCTGCGTTGTTTCCTCTCCTGTGTTCGGTCGCTTGCCTCCAAGTCTGGAATCGGTTCAGCTTTGCCCTGGAGTCTAGCGATCTTTTGTTCCCGAAATTATTATACGGCCACAAGTATTTTCGAAGGTTGAAAAATGTATTTGAGATACTTGGTAGAATATAGCAAGAAATGTAATTAAGACAAAAGCAAATACTCTAGGCGAAATGTTTTTGTAAAATGCCGAAATACTACCAAAAGTACTTGAAATACAGTATGTTGAGTAGAGTATTTAAGGTAGGCGCAAGTTTGCTCTCATATTATTCGAAAGAATGAGACCTGCACCTGGATCAAACGTCAGAGCCCCATAATATTTCTGAGTTCCTATATGACGCCTGTCCGAAACAAGCTTGCGCATCGAACATAATGCGCACTGCAGAACCCATGGGTTTTTAAGGCCCACCCCTGCCCGTTTCGATCTGGATGAGCATCGGTCCTGCGTGCGGTCGTGTAGCACTAAGGCCGGATGCACGTAAACATACGAGAATCACAATGGGGCTAACTAACTTCACGCCGGCTAAAAGTACACACAGCGCTCTCCCATGGCTTCCACCTTGCAATGCCTCGTCAGGTTGGTCCCCTCAAATCTTGTAATAGTAGACATTTAACATTCAGGGGAAATGGAACTTCCCGTCATTGACAAAGATGCGATGACAATAACGGTGACGATATTCATAGTGAATACTCCCGCGTCAAGCACTTAACGGGTCCCCGTACCGTATTCCTCCTCCCGCTTCCCCTGCGCAGCGGAAAGCGGCTTCACGCAGGACCTCGAAGCCAGGCGGGAACTTCCTCGCTGCAGGGGCGTCGCTGCTCCCGCCACAGCGCTCTGAAAGGGCGGAGCACGTGACGACGGCCATGACGTCAACTGACGTCATAGTCATGGATTTTGCATGATCAGTCGCGGCTGTGCAGTGCACGTATGACCGAATAGTAAAGGCATGTAGCGAAGCGATATGGGCTTCGTTACCACGCTCCATTACTTCAGAATGTAGAAGTATGCGGTTTAAAAGTGTAGCCTCACTGTTTTTTTTTGTTTGTTTTTTGTTATATGCGACATTGGATAATTGAAACTTAAGGAGGTGTGCAGGCCAGCTAACTGAATACTGACACACTAACCCATAAGCGGGGGAAAAGCGGGACGGACAACACAAAGCTGGAGCTTTCATTTGTCCGTCCCGTTTTTGCTCCGCTCCTGTGGCACCGTGATCGTGAGTTTGTTGTTGAAATAAAAGCTTAGTCTAGGTGGCTTAGCAGCCGCCGCTCGATGAGAAGGTTTCAAGCCACAATCGCCCACCCATTCACCCAACTGACTGATACAGAGAACGTGTCGCCAAATGGGGCACAAAACTACGTCGCACGGAGCCGCCTTAGGCGCAAGGCCGTAAGACTGAAGTTTCCGCGTCATCGAAATGAGGAAAACGCGGCACAGCTTCGGCCGAACGCTAAGGCAGCACTTCCGTCCGATACCCCTGCCCTGCGTCGGCCTCCATTCGGTGACGTCATGATACCAACCCTGGGGGGCCTGTTCTCTTTCCCGGATGATCCTGCGGCGGCAGTGGTCGAGGCCTCTTTAAGACGAATCGAAAACATTTCGTGTTATTATGCGGATAACGCTGAAATCTTCGGCGTTTACAAAAGAGAAGCGAGATACGTGGAACTCGTTTAAGAAAAGAGAGAGAAAAAATGCGTTCGGTCCCCTTTTTTTCTTTTTTTGTATTCCTTATGACTTTTTGATCGTTCATCCGCGTATCTCCTTTATAAGTTATAAATATAAGGTTCGGTGTTTCCAGATATATCCGAAAAAATTAAAAAAAAAAATAGAAAAAAAAAAACAAGAAAACATTAGCCAGTAGAATTTTCGTCAATGCGAATTTATCCGAAAATTTATTATGTAGAATCCTGAGAATAAAAAAAAAAAAAAAAAAAAAAAAAAAAAGATAAAAAAAAAGGATGGTATTTCCAAAAAAAAAAATCTTGGTAGGAGGGAGTACAGGGTAAGTGGTCCCGAGGCCATTTCAGTTTTCTTTTAAACCTCGGACTGCTGACCAAAGGTTGTTTATCTTTAATCTCGTCAGGGTTCGTTCAGGACAATAAGAGTAAAAGCTATGAACCTCTATATTCTATGGGAGAAGATGTCAAGTGAAGTTTCTATGCTTCCGACCACGTCCGAGAGTTTTGTGACTTTAAACCTTTCTTCAGGCAACATTTGTTAGCAAGTTTTGTCGTGGGACAGGTAGTAGTCTCAACGTAAAGAGCACTAACGATATCTAAGTTTAAGAAATAGCGTTCGATGCGGTCGAGTTTTTATAAATTGTGCGTACATTGTTGTACAGATATTACCTATTTTTAATGTTGAATTTGAGAAAATTGGGAGTACAGCAATATCGAATTTCGAATTTGAGAGAATTAGAGATATGGAAAACGTAAATTTCGAAAAACCGCGATTTTACGGCAAAAAATGAATTCCGAAAAAAAAAAAAAAATGATCCGGTTTTTAGAATAAACTCCGAAAACACGAAACCCTTTTTGTTAGTAAGGAAAATGCTTAGTCGAGACTTCAAAGCGACGAGCATGTTGAAATTATTTTTCGTGGATGCTTGAAATGTGTATATATACAAGAAATTGTGTACGCCTTCTTCTTTTTTTCTCTCGGATAAATCAGTTTGTTGCGTGTGTTTTTCGATTCGTTCCTGACATTTCTGCCTGACATTTCCCTTTTTTTCGAACTTACGCTTTGTCCCTGCCGATCCAGGTCTTGATGAGGGCTTCGGCTTGATGAAGTCGGGCACCGGTGGAGTGCAGCCTATGGAAGAACCTCATTCAAGTTCATCACACTGCCATCGCTTCTTCGAGTGCAAGGGGAATCCAAGGCAGCGACTGAACTCGCCGAGCCTTTGTTGTCAGTTTCACGGAACCCAGATATTTGATACAAATACATCTTCAGTCAGGGAATTCTGCGCCATTTGGGCCAAATTGGGCGATGAGAGGAAGTCTGCTACATTTAGCGCCACATTGACATTTTTGCTAAGAAAAAAAAAAAAAAACGTGAACGCTACATTTATGCGATTGGCGCAGGCGAGTTATACGGGGACATGGTGTGGGAGGCTAATCGTAACGATTAGTCGGCTAATTGAGCAAAATGTTTTACTTGACTTTTTCATTGGTGAACATAGACATATGGCTCCAATTCAATTAGAAACTTACTGATCGTCATTCAAAACCACTAAATCAGTAATTTGTAGAAAGACTGTGAACGCGTGAGAAGCGCAGTAGTGCGCCAAAGTTACCGCACGTGCAGCAGGTACAAGGCTGGGGCTTCGTGATAAGAGACGGAAAAATCGCGCGAACTTGTTATCGCGTAGGTAGCATTGCTTCTGCTGCACCAGTGGTAGCTTTAGGGCACAAGTGCGCTTATCACCCGCTCAAGGTATTTCAAAAAATGACTGAATCAGTGGTTTTCGATGACGCTCAGTAAGTTTCTGATTGAAATCATATCTCTAGTTCGCATAAATAAAAGGTTGTGAACAAATATTACTTATTTGGTCAAATGATTGTTACGATTAGCGTATGTCCTCCTTGCCGTATAACTCACCTCCAAAAACCGCATAAGTATAGTTTTCACGGCTTCTTTCTAACAAATCTAATAAGGATTAAAAAAAAAAAAATCTCCCCGTATATGTATTTTACAGCGCCTCTACTCACCGGATATTGCGTTTCATCTTGAATCAAAGCAGAGTTCGAAAACTCTATCACATACAACCACACATACTAAAAGCGCTAGTCATGGGACATTCACTGCAAGAGTTAGGGCACAGGCGAGCTGGTGAATATTAAGCAGGACAATGTTGTGTGTGTCCTTCATGTTTACGTGTCTCCGGTTTTATTACGTTGCTTACCATTCACTGCACTTTATTGGTATTGCCTATAAAACAATAAGTACAGACGAATACAACGATGTCGCGCTTTGATGCTGTTTGATAGTTCCATTTGTTTCGTATCCTTTTAAGGCGAAACGAAGTATAAAGGTTGCTCGTGAACTGTGCTGGCCGGTTGATGCGCTGGACGGTTGATCGTCGATAGCGTCTAAATTTCCAGACGATGTCGGCAATGTCAAAAGCTAAAAGTCGCGAGAAAAAAAAAAGTGCGATGGCGGCTACTGCGATAAGCCAGACCCAGGTTCCTGTACTCCTGGCTAGAGCACTTGAACGGGCCGGGCAGCGATATTCGCTTAGAATAATTTTCCCTTTACACGACCTTACTGGCACTAGTGGGACACAATTGAATACTCACACGCAACGAATGACCAAGAAACTCCTTTGTTGCGGTGTAATTTCAAGGACAAATGCGAGCGTTTTCTCTCAATATCTCCTTCGGAAAACTTGAAGACGCAGCTGACGTGTCGCAGTACCCTCCAGTGTTGGCATTTCAATGCGGCTCATAGATTGGACTCCAGCATGATGTGAGCACTCAATTTTGGCTCGTGATATTCAACAGCTGATTCGACAAGCATTCGGGTATTGCCCCGTGTCCAATCTCTGCGATGAGGACAATAGACGAACCACAACAACGTCTGGAAGTCAGGGCGTGTCCTGTGCTTCGCCAACTCCAGCGCGCGGCTGTGCTCAACACTAGTGGCATATAATCGGCTCCAGATCACGTGGCGCTTGTTCTCGTTGCGAGTTGCATAGGTGAACACTGCTCGTTTTTCTTTTAATTTTTTTCTGCGACTTCAATCGCATGGGGTGAAAATCGAGAGCGTCTCATAGGTCATTAACGTCAGGTATTCGTTCTAAGTTGTGAAGAAATCGTTGCATCGCCCCTTTCATTATCATGTGTGGCATATGGCTCCAGGCCGTAGTTACAGTGCACCAATACACTTGCGCAGCTCGCGTCAGCCTTCAGCGCCTCTCACCAGGGTAAGCTTCACCGCTTTGCACCGGAGTGCTAGGAGCAGCGGCTGACACGGGGGAGCGCCTGGGTTGGCGTGAAATAGGCTCTGAACTTATGTTCGGTATTATTACAGGTCTATCTTTTTGGTCTTAAATCTCAGTCGACCCCTCATTTTAAGAATCTGTGCCGATAAAAATGAAGAAATCGCCGGTCTATATTTGAATAGATACGGTAGTCAATGTAGTTGCCGTGTATCGAAAGAACGGCAAACTTTGACTTGACTCTGGTTCCAACGCCGACAAAGAGCAGTGCCAGTGTTAATGCACAAGTGTAGGTTTTCCTAATATTTGTGGATGGTTGTTTCTTCAGTTTATTATATATTTCAGATTATTCTTAATGTTAGCAGATGGGCTGGTATTTGCCGGAATTTGACATAAATTACACACACGCACACACACACACACATTATATATATATATATATATATATTTAGACCGAGTAAACTACCGAATGTAAAAGAGAAAGAAGGAGAGAGCCTTTATCCCGAGAAAATGTTGCGCCATGATTTATTTTTAAACAATGTTCTTAATACTCATTGTAAATGAAGCCTACTGTGACCTCGGCCTTATTTCTAAAAAAAGGCCCTGTGAATTATTTTTGTGCCCTGCCTATTCTCATTATAAAAAAGTAGGTAATAATGCTCTAGCATCAAAGAGGAACCCGCAATCATTATCAAAGATAAACGCATTTAACAATGCCACCACTTTCTTTTTTTTCTTCTTTTTTTAAGTGATCTGTTAACAGATGTTGGCATCTGCTCCTAAAGCGTCACTGGGTGATCCAAATCATTACTACTTTGCTCGGTACAAAAGGCCGACTGCCGTTTGCAGGCAATATTTTGAGAGGCGGTGATGGCTGATGCATCAGAGCACTGCACGGTCCCGTGCTAGCCCGAAGGCCCGAGCCCGGCCCGGCCCGGGGCCCGCCTCGGGCCGTGCTTGGGCAGTCGTGTGCCGCTAATTCTAAACTGTTAATATCAAAAGGTGTCTTTATTGATCTTTTAGGTTCAATTAAAACAAACGAAGTGCAAAATCACTACAGCGCCGTTAACAAAAAGAAAAAGGCGTCTTGCACTTGTAAAGCCTTCAAGTGGATAAAAGAAAACGTACGGACTCCACGGCATAGTGAAGGAGTGCGCGCTTTATCCTTAAACAGTTTTTTAGGTTAAAGCCTGCAAATGCTTTGACGGGATCGGGCCGTGCGCGGGCTTGTCTAAACATTCTCTCGGGCCCGGCCCATGTCTCTACCGGGCCGGGTCGGGCTGGGCCTAGAAATTCCGTCCCGTACAGTGCTTTGTTCCGCACGGCTTTTCGATCTTAGAGGGGCACTGACACATCAAAATCATATTTTTTTTTATTATCCGAAACGATTGAAAACGATGCCGGGACATTACCCTCAAAATTTGAGATTTGGGAATTCAGTATTCGTGAAGTAAAAAAACAATTTCCAAATGCCGAATTCGAAGTTCCCGCGCGATCGGCGCCGGTGCCTTGACGTCAAAAATTGAGGAGACCTGAGAGTCGACTTCCTTTCACCACTCCCTGCTGTTGCCATGGCGACCCAAAGCGAGGAGGAAAGGAGTGAGCGGCGGGGTTGCGGCGGACCGGTTTTGAGCGGTGTCGCCTGTTTTCCGTTGGAGGATACAAATCCAGGAGACGGCACCACAACGAACTCCCGATTTTTGGTATTTCAAAAAGAAGGGCTGTAGTGCGTTCGCAATTGCGTTAAAAAACATGTTTTAGGATTGCCGTAATTAAATGTTATAGAGATGTCGCCTACAAAGCTTCTAAATTTCCTGATTTTTGACGTCACCGATCAAAAGAAGCGAGGAGGCGAGAGGCGGGAAAATCAAACGCCAAAAATAAAAAGGCGCGCGCGCGCGCGGGAAAATTTTTTTTCGCGGTGCGGTTTTTTTTTTGCGTGTCTATGACTACAACTTGCATCGTTTTAGACAATAAAAATAAATACGACCTTTGGGGTGTCAGTGCCCCTTTAGGCGAGCTGAAACATTTATGTTGTAGATATTGAAAAGGTTCGTGCAGTTGTTTAAACTCTTAATAGATCTTTTGTACATGAATACAGATATTATTACTAATATTATTATTATTACTACTTTGGTTATAATGACACCACTGCACGCAAGCCAGATAATAAAAGAAAAACAATTTTAAATTCCCGTCATAGATTTCTTCTTTTTTTTTCATTTTGTTGCATATTGGTATATACCGATCCTTGGGCCATGAGCCGTTTAATTATCAGTTGAAATAAAAAAAAAAATGTTTCAATATCATTTCAAAGCTACCTGGAGCGAAAGTTAGTCTCTTTCTTGCACAGGGGCTGCCATGATGCCAGAACGCCGAGCTCTTATTGGTTGGCTGAAAGAAAATAGAGGGCGCTTATGTCTACCCACTATCCTCTCAATGAAAGCCAATCAGAGCTAGGCGTTGTTCTGACGTCGCCTCAACTGCTGCGAATCTCACGAGGATTGACCGGTAAGAGTTTGTCCTTGTCACTCCAGAGTGGCTCCATTTCACAGCGGACCTCGATACCGAGGCTACAATATACCAGGGACCCGGTGTTCGGGCTTAGTATCCTAATGTAGCATATCGAATACTAATGGATAGTTTTATGTCTCAAATTATTCTTCGCAGCCTTCCCTTTCGCCAAATTCGCAGACGCCCTTTTTTCAGAGGCTCTGCTAACGCTCACCCATTCGTAGGAGAAGGTCGTAGTTTTCCTTGAGATTGGTCATTCTTGACTTCACGTAGAATGACAAGGTGTTCCATTCTTCATCCGAGAAATATTCTCGGATGAGGCTGAAACGAGGCAGGTCTTCGGAAGACATTTTCGTGG